AACCAGTATATGTAGAAGACAGACAAGGTATTCTAGCATATTGACACGAACTTTCAGAATCAGCAAACATCCATCAAGAAGCTGTAAATATAAATTGGTCAGATAGCTCAACAGCTTGCAGAACGCCCATAAGGGACATTGTCAGGTAACACAATGGTCGATCTGAAAGAGCAAGGGCAAGCTATTAAAATCAGAAGTGGGGTAGAACTTTCAGAGATACATGTGAAAAGACCAGAGAAAAAAGACAAAGAAATAATGGGTAAAGAGACTGTGATAGAAGCAGAGTCTGAACAACCAACTGACAAAGAGGACGAAAGGAAAGAAACGTCCACAGTTAGAGCACCAAGCCCTATGAGAGGTTACGTGCTACAAATTTCCTTCCCTCAAAGGTTACAGAGAAAGAAACTGGATAAGCAGTTTACCAAGTTTGTGGAGATTTTCAAGAAACTGCACATCAATATTCCGTTTGCAGATGCAATTGCCCAAATGCCCAGTCATGATAAATTCTTGAAGGAGATCCTATCTAACAAAAGGAAGTTGGAAGAACATGAGACAGTCTGCCTGAATGAGGAGTGCAGTGCAATTCTATTGAAAAATCTACCTCCTAAACTAAAAGACCCAGGAAGTTTCACGATACCTTGCACAATTGGTTCTAATTATTTTGAACATTATTTATGTGATTTAGGTGACAGTGTTAGCCTTATGCCTCTCTCTATTTACAGGTCTCTTGGATTAAGAGAAGCAAAACCTATAATCATTTCTTTGTAACTGGCTGACAGATCAATCAAACGACCGAATGAGATTATTGAAGATGAGCTAGTCAAAGTTGACAAATTTATTTTTCCAGCTGACTTCATTATTTTAGACATAGAAGAGGACTTAAACATTTCTCTGATCTTGGGATGACCCTTCTTGGATACTGGAAGAGCACTGATTGATGTTTACGATGAAAAGATGATTTTTCAGGTGGACAATGAGCAAGTTATATTCAACGTGTTCAAGGCAATGAAACATCCATTGACTTTCGATACTTGTTGCCAAATAGATGTTCTTGAAGAGCTTGTGGCAGATACATTTGAGACAGAACATCACACAAATCTTTGTGAGGTAGAACTTACGCACCGGAAACAACAAATGCAGGAAAAGCTGAATGTGTTGTCAACTTGGCCGAGCAACTAATAGGAAGGAGACATTGGCAGTATGAATCTCTGGGCGACAACCCTTTACCCCCAGTACCTTTAGTGGAAAAGGTACCCACTCTTGAACTAAAGTCCTTGCCTTCACATCTCCACTATGCATATTTGGGAGACTCCACAACACTTCCAGTAATCATCGCGAATGATATGACAAGGGAATAGGAGAATAAATTGTTGGTAGTACTCAAGCAAAACAAAATGGCAATTAGATGGACAATAGCTGACATAAGAGGAATCAGTCCAATTCTTTGTATGCACAAGATTTTAATGGAGAACGGGTCAAAGCCATCAGTGGAAGGACAACGCAGATTAAATTGAACCTTGAAAGAAGTAGTGCGAAAAGAAGTGCTGAAATTGTTGGATGCAAGTATTATCTATCCCATCTCTGATTGTTCTTGGGTGAGTCTAGTACATGTGGTGTCTAAAAAAGGTGGAATTACTATAGAGAAGAATGAGAATAATGAGCTGATACCAACACGGTTAGTAACATGATGGAGAGTATGTATAGATTACAGAAAGCTAAACAATGCCACTAGAAATGACCATTTTCCATTGTCATTCATTGATCAGATGTTGGAGAGGTTGGTAGGGCATTCTCATTATTGCTTTCTAGATGGATATTCAGGATACAATAAGATAGTTATTGCTCTAGAAGCCCAAGAGAAAACAACATTTACATGCCTTTATGAAACTTTTTCGTTTAGAAGGATGTCTTTCGGTCTATGCAACGCACCTGCAACCTTTCAACGGTGCATGATGGTCATATTCTCTGACATGGTAGAAAAATAAATCGAGGTATTCATGTATGATTTCTCAGTGTTTGGGGATTCTTTTGATGATTGCTTGGAACGACTATCTCTTGTATTACAATGGTGTGAAGAGAAGAATCTGGTGCTAAATTGGAAAAATTGTCACTTTATGGTAAAGGAGGGAATAGTGCTGGGCCACATGATTTCCTCAAAGGGCATTGAAGTTGACAAAGTTAAAATACAAGTGATTGAAAAATTGCAGCCTCCTAATTGAGTTAAGGGGATCAGAAGCTTCTTAGGACATGTACGGTTTTACAAAAGGTTCATTCAAGATTTCTCAAAAATTATAAAACCTCTGTGTAATCTACTGGAGAAGGATGTGCCTTTTCACTTTTCTGATGAATGACTAAATGCCTTTAATACTTTGAAAGAAAGTTAACTTCTGCACCTATGATAGTAGCACCTGATTGGGATCTACCTTTTGAACTTATGTGTGATACTAGTGAGTTTGCAGTGGGAGCGGTGCTTGGCCAACGTAAAGGAAAAATGTTATATGTAATCTGCTATGCAAGCAAAAGCTTGACAGATGCTTAGATCAACTATGCAACAACAGAAAAAGAGATGCTAGTGGTGGTCTTTGCCTTCGACAAATTTTGTTCCTATCTGATTGGTTCAAAGGTGATAGTCTACACTGACCATGCAGCATTGAAATATCTCTTTGAGAAGAAGAATGCTAAACCTAGGCTGATTCGATAGGTTCTATTAGTACAAGAGTTTGACATTGAAATTCATGATAAAAAAGGAACAGAAAATTAGGTAGTAGATCAATCATCAAGGCTAGAGCAACTGCAGGATTCAGAGGACATGGATATTAATGAGGTCTTCCCAAATGAACAGTTATTGCAAATAGAGAAGGCTCCGTGGTATGCAGACATTGTCAATTACTTAACTAGTTGCTATATGGATCCAGATCTACCTATTAGTAGAAGAAAAAGCTACTTCATGAAGCGAAATTCTATTATTGGGATGATCCAAATTTATATAGGAGAGGGGCAGACCAGATCATTAGAAGATGTGTACCATAGGATGAGATGAAATCTATCCTTTCACGGGTTCATGCTTCGACTTATGGAGGACACTTTGGCCTCACTAAAACAGCAGCAAAGGTACTTCAATGTGGTTTCTTTTGACCTACTAATGAGTGCTCTATACTCATAATATATATGCCACCTAATTTGTTATTTTGTTACTCGTGAGAGTGTTTTAGAGCCTTTTATTGTGTGTTTTGATGTTGTAATGTAGATTGATGAAATTGAAAGAAATAAGCAAAAGTTGGCGAATTTGGAGAAAATTGCTAAATTGTAAGAGATTCAAAGTTTGGGGACTAAAGCGCAAATATTGAAAAGTTGTGTTAAATCTCGCAATGAAGATCCGAGCATGCTAGGAGTCAATTGGATGAAAAAAAGATGTCAAAGGGATCAAATTTAGTCAAAATATGATCACAAATCAATTTCCAATCGAAAAGTTGTGCTCTGAAATTTCAACCTCACATTGAGATTCATTTTTGAATAGAAAACGATCGAAGTGGAGAATATTTGAAAAAAATTTGTACCCCTTTGAGTTAGCTTTCTAACGAGCTTTGAATCACATCAATTGGACATCGAACGAGAAAGTTATGCTAAAAATACTGAAGGATGCGTAGAAGGAATTTTCCACTCGAACCGGGCGCCGTAGCGCCCATGAAGCTGAATTTGACAGTAAGGGCAGTGCCGTTGCGTCGCCTATGCAGGGAAACGTATTTTGATATTTTTGGATTTCTTTCTCGGCTCATTCCAACCTAAAATCGTCCAACACTTGAGGAGACTAAACATACTACCTAAAAGACCTAATTAAGGGGAGGGGGGAATGAGCAAGGAAAACTGAAGCAGCCGGCGAGAACACGTGATTGGAAAGAGGAGTTCAGCCAGCCAATTGCAAATATATAGAGACAAACCCACGGCTGGTCAATACAATTAAAGATGAGGAAGTTAATTGAGAGAATTTGGCAACAATGGAAGAAGAAATTGAGCGGTAAAAATGAGTTTTTCTATTCCTTTTCTTCTCTATGTTCTTTCTTATTAATTTATTCATGTCAATTGATCTTTCCTTTTTATTTATTTATGTTGTTTGTGTGCAATGCTTTCAATTAACTGGCCACTAATTGACTGATTTGATGTTCTAAATTTTGGCGCTCGAGAGAGGCAAATTTAGACGTGATCTAAGACAACATAACCTAAATTTCATAGGTTTCGAGAGAAAGTACTAATCTTTGAGGCTTGTTTTAATTAAGAACCACTTGCTTGATAATTTTTATATTTTTAATTCGGAATAGAGATATTGGAATTAATATATAAAAATAGATTTTATTTGTTGCTCGAGAGAGGGAAATAGAATCACTTTAGCGTTCTTGCCTATAAATTTTGGAAAGATTGATAGAAATAGTTATACAGTTGAAAAATATTGTCGAATGTACGGTGAAATCTTTCCCTCGACATTCATAATTTGATAAGAAACTTCATAATTTACTCTCGTTTACTTGCATCGTTCATCATATTTAATTTTAATTTAGCATAAAAACATTGACTCAAAATTTGATCATCTAAATAAAGGGAAAGCTAAAATAATTATAGTACTCAATTGATTCAAATATCAATCCCTGTGGATTCGACATCCTAACTTCTTTACTATATTACAAAACTTGACATCGTACACTTGCGGTTTAAAATCACGTTACATAAATCGCGTGGCAAGTTTTTAGCGCCGTTGTCGGGGATTGATTTATTTGAATTCAATTGATATTATTACCATTTAGCTTTCATTTTACTTTACATTTTTATTTCTATCGTAATTTTTATTTTTATTTTATTCTTTTTGTGTCTATCTTTAAGGGCTTCCTTGTGGTTATTTTCAGCTGTTTATGCGAAGGGTAAGAAATCAAGACCTACTACCTGTTGATCCTGAACCAGAACGCACATTTCGCATTCTCAGAGGCATACAAAGAAACTAACGGGAGGCAATGGAAGAACAGGATGCTAAAGCAGCCAATGAGGATAACCAACAAGGGGCTATTTGGGACTACATAAGGCCGGTTGTCAATAACAACTGTTCTGGCATCGCACGCCCAGCAATTGCTGCAAACAATTTCGAACTGAAGCCAAGACTTATACACATGGTACAGCAGAATCAGTTTGGGGGAGCTCCAACAGAAGACCCAAATGCTCATTTAGGGTCCTTTCTGGAGATCTGTGATACAGTGAAAATGAATGGTGTTACTGAAGATGCAATCCGACTCCGCCTATTTTCCTTTTCCCTAAGAGACAAAGCCAAGGCATGGTTCCAATCATTGCCGTATGGATCCATCACAACTTGGGAGGGGTTAGCGCAGAAGTTTCTTACAAAATTCTTTCCACCTTCGAAAGCAGCGTAATTACGGAGTGAAATTGGACAGTTTCGACAATTAGACTTTGAACCATTCTATGAGTCATGAGAGAGATATAAAGACTATTCAGAAGATGCCCTCAGCATGGTTACCCGGATTGGTTGCAGATACAAACCTTCTACAACGGTTTGAATGGTCAGACACGGATAGTGGTAGATTCTACAGCAGGGGGTGCACTATTATCCAAAACTCCAAATGAGGCTTATGCATTATTGGATGAGATAGCTACTAATAGCTATCAATAGCCGAGTGAGCGTTCAAGTGCAAAGAAAGTTGCTGGCCTTTATGAAGTAGATCCTATAACCGTCCTTGTAGCTCAAATGTCATCTTTTACTAATCAAATAGCTGCATTGACTTCACATGGATCACAAAAGAAATCAGAATCTACTATGGCTGCATCCACTGCATACCAAAAAGTTGAAAGGGAAAATGAACAACTTCAGTATGTGAACGATCGGAATTTCAATCAAAAGGAAAACTACTCAAGAAACAACTATTATCAAGGGTTCAATAATCAAGAGTTTGAGCGAAAGCCATCACTAGAAGATATTTTAGGAACCTTCATTTCAGAGACTAGATCGAGGTTCAACAAAGATGAGGCAAGACTTGACAGCATTGAGACACATATGACCAACTTGGGGACTACAGTGAAGAATTTGGAGGTACAGATTGGTCAGATAGCAACTGCAATACAGTCTTAACAAAAAGGACAATTTCCCAGTGACACAGAGATTAACCCACGGGAACACTACAATGCAATCACCCTAAGAAGTGGTAAACCAGTTGAAGAACGCAAGCTTAGAGAGGTTGGGGTACCTACATCGGACCCCATTCTTGCAAGGGAAAAGCAGACTGAAGGGCAGAAAACTGACGCAGAGGCAACAAAGAAGATTTATAAGCCTTACTCAATTTCATTTCCGGACAACCCACCTATCTTGAAGCCCCCACTACCATTCCCGTAGAGGTATTTGAAGAAGGAGTTTGATGAAAAATTCGTAAAGTTTCTGGAAGTCTTCAAGAAAATCCACATCAACATTCCCTTTGCAGAAACCTTGGCCCAAATGCCTAACTATGCCAAGTTCTTAAAGGAAGTGATGTCAAAGAAGAGACAGTTGGAGGAATTTGAGACTGTTAAGCTGACAGAGGAGTGTAGTGCCATATTTCAGGAAAGCTCCCTCACAAATTGAAAGATCCTGGCAACTTCAACATCCCGTGCAATATTGGTGGCATCACATTTGATAGCGCACTATGTGACCTTGGAGCTAGCATAAAGTTGATGCCCTTATTAGTGTTCAAAAAGTTGGGTCTTGAAAAAGTGAATCCCACAACACTTACCTTGCAACTAGCGGACAAATCGATCACATATCCCAAAGGCATTATTGAAGAAGTGTTGGTGAAGGTTGATAAGTTCATCTTTCCGGTGGACTTTGTGGTATTGGACATGGAGGAGGCTGAGAAAGTATCATTGATTCTTGGCCAACCTTTCCTGGCTACTGGAAGAGCATTGATTGATGCGCAAGAAGGAAAGTTGACACTACGAGTTAATGAAGAGGAAGTAACTTTCAACATCCATCAAGAAAAGAAAGCCCCAGAAAAAGGAAAAGTTGACACTTGCAAAATGATCCAATCAGTTGAAGTAATTGCAGGAACAGAGAAAAAAGGGAATTATTTTATGATCCGTTGGTGCAATACATGGAAATTAATTACTCAACAAGGGATGCATCTACTAATGGTAATGACTCAGAAATGAAGAAAGCAGTGGATTTCATCTTAGCTCAAGAAGCTAACCCACCTGACAAAAAAAAGAGCTATGTAGATAGGCTTTTGAAACCTCCAAACATTACCAAACCAAAAGAGGTCTTGAAAGCCATACCAGGGTCAAAACAGCCTAAGTTTGATCACCATCTTACAATGAAGGAGAAATGTGCCACCTGAGGATCCACTGTAGGCATTGCGGTTGAATCAACCTAGTGACTACAAAGAAGCGCTTCTTGGGAGGCAACCCAAGCGTTCTTACCTTTTCACTTATTTTATTTTATTTTATTTGTTTCTTATTATAGGATAGTTTATTTCATTTCAAAAAATTTTTTATTTAGAAATTCATCAGCCCTACCTCGTCTCCCATAGGTCTTTGAGCAGTCTAGTTGGTTATTATATGTTCGAGTTAAGTAACACTTGTTCCATGAATTTAATATCTACATTTTGAATTTTCAGAAACTTGACATCGTGGAACAATCAAACCAATTGACGAAGAGTAACTGGATAAATATCAAATTTGGGGGAGAAACTAGAAGAAGTATCAATCAAGTCCAGCATCATAGCACCAGACCATCATTGGCAATTCAGACAATTCAGGGAAGTTTTTCCCCTTTTCTTTTAATTTAACATTAGGGACAATGTTTAATTTAAGTTTGGGGGTGTATCATAAATTTTCTAATTGCCTACATATATATATTTTTTTTATTTTGTGTATTTTGTGTGATTTGTGTGCAATTTTTTTTATTTTCTTATTAGGGTGCACTGTTAAAAAAAATGATTTTGTGTTTTGCATGCTTTTGTGAGTTAGATAGTCTTGTCGATATTGATTTGTGTAATTGAGAACATGAGTTGATTTATCGGTTATGGATAAGTTATGTGCTTGAGTTAGATTTTTGCTTATTTATGTAAAACTGAAATTATTTTTGCACATGAGTTGATTGTGGCGTTGTGCATGAGTAGGTTGATTCATGTTTATAGGTTGGATTAGAGAACTTAGATCCTAAACCCAAACAACCTTTGAACATCATATTACCTTTAAACAAAATATAGGATGTTTGATAGATTAAGCTGTTGTAGGGAAATTTGGAGATAAATGTGAATTCCGTGTGTGCTAAATTTTGTGTGGATTTTCTAAGACTAATAGGATGAAAATTGGGTGAAAATCTTAAGTTAGAGGTCGATTTTCGAGAATTGGTATTTTATAAGGGGCATTGCACTAATCATTGCATAAAAAAAAGATCCCAATAAGGACAACTTTAATAATCTCATTGTGAATCGTCTCTTCGTAACCTTTATGACTCGAGTGATTAAGCCTGTAAGGGTTTAAAATCTGGTGCCCTAAAGTCGTCTGATTTGGGAGTCATCGGCCTAAAGCTCGGTACAGGGGTCATTTAGAAAGCTTAATGGAGTGACGTCCACACAAAGGATGTTTAAAGAATAAATTTATATTTGAAAAAAAAAATAAAGAAATTTGATATCACATAGCCTAATTAAGCCCCGAACACTTGTTTTAGAGGATTAGACCTTTGATGAGAGGTTAGTAACTTGGTTGATTCTGGGAGGTTGAAGTAGTCAAAAATAAGGAGAATCCTCATCTGTTGATATGTTGAACTGCAATAGTGAAATCTAACCAAATTTGAGCGATGTAAGAAATTAGTATTGAAAAATCAACTTTAGCATCACCTTGTGAAGAGAAAAGAAAACAAATTTTGGGGAGTGTGAATCCCACGAGCAAGGCAAGAAAATATTTGACTTTTAAGGTCGGGAATTGGGTCAATTTATTATTGTACAGTGTTGCGCTTAACTTTTCACACACACACACCCGATTGCATTGAATAGGCGAGAATTTGACTTGTGCATTATAGCATTGAAGTAATTCATGAATTTGACGCTATGTTTTTAATCTTGAGCTATAAAGGCAAGGTGTCTAACATAATGTGTCTTTTAAGTGATTTTGTTTGTTTTAGTTGTGCTTGTATATTTGTTAATGATTTTCTTTAGTTTGGTGTTTGCTCGAGGACAAGCAAAATATTAAGTTTGGGGGTATTTGATGAGTGCTCTACACTCATAATATTTATGCCACCTAATTTGATATTTTGTTAATCTTGAGAGTGTTTTAGAGCTTTTTATTGTGTGTTTTGATGTTATAATGTGGGTTGATGAAATTGAAAGAAATAAGTAAAAGTTGACGAAATTGGAGAAAATTGCTAAATTGTAAGAGATCCAAAGTTCGAGAGACTAAAGCGCAAATATTGAAAAGTTTTTTTGAACCTCGCAATGAAGATCCGAGCATGCTAGGAGTCAATTGGACGAAAAAAAGATGTCAAAGGGATCAGATTTAGTCAAAATATGATCACAAATCAATTTCCAACCGAAAAGTTGTGCTCCGAAATTTCAGCCTCACATTGAGACTCATTTTTGACATAGCAAACGATCGAAGTGGAGAATAATATCTGAAGAAAATTTGTACCCCTTGAGTTAGCTTTCTGACGAGCTTTGAATCACCTCAATTGGACATCGTACGAGAAAGTTATTCTAAAAATACTGAAAGATGCGCAGAAGGAATTTTCCAACCGAAGCAGGCGCCGCAGCGCCCATGAAGCTGAATTTGACAGTAAGGGTAGCGCCGTGGCGCCGTCTATGCGGGGAAACGTATTTTGATATTTTTGGATTTCTTTCCCAGCCCATTCCAACCCAAAATCGTCCAACACTTGAGGAGACTATACATGCTACCTAAAAGACCTAATTAAGGTGGGGGACAAGCAAGGAAAACCGAAGCAGCCGACGAGAACACGTGATTGGAAAGAGGAGTTTAGCCAGCCAATTGCAAAAATCTGGAGACAAACCCACGACTGGTTAATACAATTAAAGAAGAGAAAGTTAATTGAGAGAATTTGGCAACAATGGAAGAAGAAATCGAGCGGTAAAAACGAGTTTTTCTATTCCTTTTCTTCTCTATTTTCTTTCTTATTAATTTATTCATGTCAATTTTCTCAATTATAAACTAAACAATTATTCTAGGGATGATGTAGCCTACTTGAGACATGTTTGGATTCCGTTATAATTATTTCAATTGATCTTTTCTTTTTATTTATTTATGTTGTTTGTGTGCAATGCTTTCAATTAACTGGCCACTAATTGACTGATTTGATGTTCTAAATTTTGGCACTCGAGAGAGGCAAATTTAGGCTTGATCTAAGACAACATAACCTAGATTTCGTAGGTTTCGAGAGAAAGTGCGAATCTTTGAGGCTTGTTTTAATTAAGAACCACGTGCTTGATAATTTTTATATTTTTAATTCGGAATAGAGATATTGGAATTAATATATAAAAATAGATTTTATTTGTTGCTTGAGAGAGGGAAATAGAATCACTTTAGCGTTCTTGCCTATAAATTTTGGAAAGATTGATAAAATGGTTATACGGTTGAAAAATATTGTCGAATGTACGGTGAAATCATTCCCTAGGCATTCATAATTTGATAAGAAACTTCATAATTTGCCCTCATTTACTTGCATCGTTCATTCTATTTAATTTTAATTTAGCATAAAAACATTGACTCAAAATTTGATCATCTAAATAAAGGGAAAGCTAAAATAATTATAGTACTCAATTGATTTGAATAGCAATCCATGTGAGTTCAACATCCTAACTTTTTTACTATATTACAAAACTTGACACCGTACACTTGCCGTTTAAAAATCACGTTGCATAAATCGCGTGGCACCTACACTGTTCAAGGACTGCTACAGTTTCTACAGGTCATGTGATAAATGTCAAAGAACAGGTAACATATCAATGCGTCACGTGATGCCACTTAACAACATTTTAGAGGTGGAAATATTTTATGTCTGGGGTTTGATTTAATGGGTCCTTTTCCATCATCCTATAACAATCGTTACATATTAGTGGCAGTGGACTATGTCTAGAAGCTAAAGTATTGCCTAAAAATGATGCAAGGATGGTGGTGGAGTTCATAAAGAAATACATCTTTAACCGCTATGGATCACCTAGGGCCATAATAAGTGATGGTGGAACTCACTTGCGCAATCGGTTATTCCAGGCAATGTTGCATAAGTATGGGGTACAATATCGAATTGTCACTCCTTACCACTCTCAGACAAGTGGACAAGTAGAAACCTCGAACATACAATTGAAAAGAATTCTGGAGCTCACTATGAATGCATCTCTTAAGAATTGGTCAAAGAAATTAGACGATACTTTATGGGCACATCGCACTGCTTACAAGATACCTATTGAGATGTCCCCATATCGACTAGTTTTTGAAAAAGCATGCCACCTACCAGTGGAGTTTGAACATAGAGTATACTAGGCATTGAAGCAGTTAAACATGGACCTCGAAAAGGCTGGAGAAACAAGAATACTACAGCTACATGAATTGGAAGAATTTAGAAGAGAAGCATATGGAATGCAACCATCTACAAGGAAATGATGAAGCAACGGCATGACAAGAACATTAGGCAAAGAATTTTTAGAGTGGGAGATCAAGTACTTTTATACAATTTCAGACTTAAACTGTTTCTAGGAAAGTTGAAATCTATATGGTCCAGCCCTTTTATGGTCTCTCAGGTGTTTCTCTACGGCACAGTTGAATTACACCATCTAACAAAAGAAAGTTTCAAAGTAAATAACCAACGTATCAAGCACTATGTGAAAGATTTCTCCACCATTAAAGAGAGTCTTGACCTAGCTGTACCAGAATAGTAGCAGCACAAAGTCCAGCTAATCACTTAAAAGAAGCACCTATTAGAAGGCAACCCAATTTTCAATTTTTTTTTTATTTTTTTATTTTGCTTTTTATATTGCATAGCATATAGTTTGTTTTGTTTACTAGGTTATTTATGCTTTATGATATTGAGAACAATGTCAGTTTTAAATTTGGGCGTGAAAAACTTTTAGTTTTAGTTTTAGTTTTTTGTTTTTTTTTATGTTTTTATGTTTTTGTGTGTTTGCTTGGAAAAAAAAAGAGCAAAGAAAAGGAAAAAATCGAAAATTTTGAAATTTTTTTTTTTTTTAAATTTCTCTTTTGTTCAGTTATGTGCTTGTGTGGGTTAGACAGTCTAGCAGACAATGATGATTTAATTTGAGATTTGGTGTTGATTTATGAATTGTGGATAGGATGCATGCTAGACTAATTGAAACTCAACCTTACAAAA